GGATTCACTGCAACACCGTTCACAGTATGGAAGACGTGGAAACACCTGAAATGTCCAAAAACAAATCATCCATTCAGGATAGCATTAGAAAGCCTTTGAAATAGGGCTTGTGATAAAATCTTCATGAGTTTATGCCAAGGGACATGAATGGAAAATGTCACTGTGAGACCTCTGTAAACTAAATGAAGAACAGACGTGTGCTGGAAAAGGATCGACAGGGAGAGCGCCTAAATGTCAGCAGTGTTTTCTCTGGAGCGGATTTTCTGGGATTTTAGTTCACATGTGGGAGTTGGGGGTGGGTGTTCTTCTATAAAGATCACATTAGCTTAGTTTGAGGGTAGCACAACATTTTAAGCAGAAAAATCAATAGCCCGAGTTCTGCCCTCTGGCCCCAGGCGGTGCTGTGTGTGGGGAGGCCAGAAGTCCTCTGTGGAGAAGCAGGACAGGGCTGGGCGGAGGATGGGCCGGCCCAGGGTGCTCTGAGCAGGTGGCTGCCTCCCACCAGTACTCTTGTCCTCTTCACACTGACATCACACCATCTGCTTCACTTTCCAGATGAGGAAACTAAAGCTGAGCAATTGAGTGATCTGCTCATACCCACGGCTAATGTGTGAAGAGCCACGGGGCAGAACTTGCTGCCCTTTCACTTGGAAATAGCGGCCTATTAATTTTCTGATTCACTCTTGTTCCCCTTCCCCTGGATCCAGAGCACTGTTTGCTTCTAGCTGTGTTGGGAGGCTCCTGGGCCCCTTGACAAACATTCGCTGTGTGACTTGAGCCCTTTGCTGTAGTGACTGAACTGGGTGGGACAGAGCAGCTCCACCCTGCCCTCCTGAAGGACGATGCTAGTGGGACATGGAGGACTCTGGTCCCAGACTGTCATGGGATTCACAGCTCAGGGGAAGCAGGAGGACCTGAGGGAGTGCTGACCAGGAAGCTGTGGCCATGGCGCAGCTGCAGATGGCCACAGGTTCCCAGTATGGATACGGAGAGGCTGTGGGGCAAGAGGAATTGGGGTGGAGGAGGGTCTTCCACACGTATCCGGAGAGGGCATTAGGAGGGAGGGGAACTGGTGGCATGGGGCAGGCAGGAGGAGCACACAGGAGGAGGTGAGCAGGGGCTCGGCTGTCAAGGGGGAAGGACAGGATGCAGGGGGGACCAGCCTGGAAATGGATTTGGAGAACAAGTCCTCCCAACCCCCAGGATGAGTTTGAGGCTCAGAGGGCTCTGGGAGGATTTTGCATGGGCCTAGATTGAGTGTTTTGTGCCTCTGGGGACCTGCTGAGAACCAGCCCCAGGCATCTAGCTCCCTCCTTCGGAGCAGCCCCAGAGGTTGGAGGAGAAGATGGGGAGCAGCTGCAGGGAGCCCAGGACAGCCAGCCAGCACTAGGCCCATGGATGGGGACCGGTCCACCGCCCATTGTGCTGGGGTTCTATGCCCAGGGCCGGTGACACCATCCGCCTTCGGCCTTGTTCACCACTGATACTTTGTCTCCAATCCAGTTCAGACATGACCTTCAGGAACACACCCACTAGATGGGGTCAGGTGTGTTTCCTTCCCAGGAGCCAGGAAAGGGGCTCCTTGTGCCGAGGAAACCGGAGACGCGCATGGAGAAATAAACATTGAGGCCGTTGTCTCTTGGGGTCATGACAGCGATTACAGAGATGTGTTTTTTCATTTCCTCAAGTTCCACCGCTCATGTGTTGCACAGCTGTGATTTATTTTCAGAGCACACTTTGGAATTTGACAGGCCCGCATGCTGGCCTGCTTCACAGTCGAAACTGCTTGCCCTTTGGTAGATGATAGAGCAAGTGGCAGTTTATGCTACAGAAGACTGCGTCTGTGAAGAAGACAGACAGGTGTCAAAGCCGGCAGCAGAGGCAGTGTCACAGCCAACTTCATCCTCTTGGCTGCCTGTGCACACCCGCCAGGTGCGACTCTGCCGGCAGCTTGTGTGACTATTGGCCTGGCGCTGCGGGTCCTCCAGCCCCGATCCTGTGCGCAGGAAAGGCTGTGCACACCAAGCCCTAATGGCCCCAGGCTGACGGGTTGGTCTGGGCGGCCCTGGCAAACAGCATGCTTGGAAGCACAGCCGGGGAGCCAGCTCCACCAAGACCCCTTTGATTTCTGTCTATTGCAGAGGAGTGGGTCCAGGTTTCCTTCCCACACCTACTCTGTTCAGTGCTATTCATAGTGCTCATTTCCATTTGAAAATCTGTTCGCCTCTTCGATTTTGTTATGTCTTTCACCCACTAGAACATAATGGCTCTGCCTGCTTAATTCCTTGTGTCCAGCTCAGTGCCTGGCCTGTTGAGGTGTCAGGTGAGGCGACACCTGGGTAGGAGAGGGCAGCACAGGGCACAGGGGTGTGGAGAAGAGTGCTAGCAGCAGGGTTGGAGCAGGGGAGGTGTGGAGAGAGAGGGCCCCTCAGGAGGGGAGCATGGGGCTGCAGGATTTGGGTTTACTGGGCCCCCCGGGGGAGGGCGGAAGAGATTTCCGGGGAGCTGTGACTTACGCTTGCCTCATGGACTGCACGCCAGCTGCATGCGGATCATTTTCCCGTGTGCCGAGTTGCCATGATCCTGCAAGTGAGAGCTCACTGCTTTACGGTGAGAAGAAGCTATGGCCCTTCTGGTATTTTGGTAAAGACTGAGGGTAGTTATGCAGAGGGCAGACCTAGGGGATGAGACCAGGGAGCTGAGGGGTGGTGCTGAGGGGTCAGTGCAGAGGCCACGGTGTGCAGGAGGCGGCTGGGCAGGAAGCTGAGGGCTGAGGAGAGGTGAGCAAGTCTTCACATGCTCACTGAAGAAGCATTTGTAGAGCACTTCTGAGAGCCACTCACGGCTATAGTCCCTTTGTAATATTAACCCATCAATGCTCGCAACGGCTGTCTGAGGGAAATGCTGTTCTTACCTTCACATTGCAAACGTGAATGAAGCAGAGTCTGGTGACATGGTGAGGGTCACACAGTCAGTGAGGGAGGAAGATGATAGGCGAGGTGGTCAGGAGGTGGAGCTCGTGCTCTTAACTGGTAGTTTTCAGCTTGAGCAACTGAGTAACTGGTGCCAGTGACTAAGGCAGGGACTGTGGACAAAGGGCAGCTTGGACAGGGGGCACAGTTGTTTTGGAGCTGTGCACTCAGAGTGTCTGTGAGGTGTTCATGAGGCAGGCACATAGGCACTTCCAGGAGAGTCCAGCTGTGCTGTAGAAAAACGGTCGTGGTGCACCTGGGCTGGTGAGGAAGAAACACTCTGAGGGCTGCAGTGCTGGGTGCAGGTGCACTGTCTGGGTGCTCTGAGTGGGGAGAGCCTGGGCTCGACATAGCCTCCACCAGACACAAGGAGGCCTTTAGGGCCCCAGAGCAGGGTGGGAGCCAGGGCTCAGAGACCCTTGCTGAAGGGGCGTAAGATGGGGAAGGCTGGCAGACCGGGTGGGGCAGGGTTGCCCAATTGTATGAGGCAGCTAGCTTCCTGTGACTGTGACAGACACCTGGGATCATGATCTCTTATGAAGAACAGGTTTATTTTGTTCTGTGGCTGGGGCAGCTCCAGACCAGGGTTGGGTGGAGCCCACTTTGGGCATTGGGGAGGGTGCTGGTGGTGACGGTGCGGATCGTGCAGCGGAGCATGGGCCCACAAGCAGAAGGACGGCGTGAGCAGGGATCCCACGGTGCCTTCGGGTGAACCAGTGACCTGGGGGCCTTTCATGGGCCCCAGCCCTTAAATTCTTTCCCCCAGCAGTGCTATACTGAGCACCAGCCTTCAGCACCTGGCACTGGTTAAGCAGGGTTCTCTCCTAGCCTGGACTCTAGGAGGACAGGGAAGGAAGCAGAAGACTGAGCCTGGTCAAACAGAGGACTCGAAAGTGTCAGTAAAGTCTGGGCCAGAGGAACGTGTCTTTGCTGGGAACAGGTTATCTTGTCACAACACAGAGGACTCATGGAGCCCATGGTCGCCGGGAAGAGTGGGTGAGAAAAGGGCCAGTGAGGTTCCATGGAGGGACGAGGTAGGGAACCTGATGGGGTTTTTTAGTGTGGTACCACAGAGAGCCTGGTGGCCTGGCCTGGAGCAGGCGAGTGAAGGCCGATGGCACCAGTGGCTGTGAGCAGTAGAGCCTTACGAGGTGGAGAAGAGGCCGGGGACTTCCGGGTTGGTGAAGGCAGGAGGCTTCTGCTTTTCTCCATAAGACAGGTGTCAATGCCAGGGAAGTCATCTGTATGGAGGGGACGTTAGAAATCGCTGAATGGAACAGAGCCCCACAACTTATGGGGAGCGTGTCTGAGGTTCAGGTCTCCTTCCCAGGAGAGGGGAGCAGGGGATGGCACAGGCGGGGACGGGGGTGGGGGAGGTGGATAGGGACTGTCTAGCAGGGAGGGAGAGGACAGGGGCAGAGGGCGTCTGGGTGCTGGTGTTCAGGTGTTTGGAAGGAGTGGTGTAGGTCTAAGGAGAGGGAGGGTCTGTTGTTAAAGGTGTAGATGTGGTGTCATTAACATCCAGAACCTTGGAGTGGGTGAAACTGCACGGAGACAGGTATGAAGAAAGCAAAGAGAGGGTGGCTGAGGTGGCTGAGGAAGGAGGCCCAGGAGACTGAAAGAGCAGTGGGGAAAGACTAGAAAGTGCTGTGTAGGAAGCCAAGGAAGAGTTTTGAAAAGTGTGTAACTGTGTCAAGTTCGGCAAAGCAGTCAGATAAAATAAAGGAAAAGCACATTTCAGAGTCAGCAATGAGGAGGTTGTTGGTGGCCTTGGCAGATTCTGTCTCCATGGTGTGGGGAGAGGGCAGCCCAGGCAGTGACTGCTGTCAGAGCCCATTCCCCTCCAGGGAATGGGCTCTGACAGCAGAGGCGGGGGTATGGACTGCTCTGGAGACAGCAAGGCCTGAGTTGCTGGGCCTCATTGTGTAAGTTTCCTGCTGAAGAACAAACAAACAGCTCGTGCAGCCCCACCTCTGCCCACCATCCCGGCCTCAGCCAGCATGACCTGTGTGTGCTTCTCTTTCTCAGGGCGGATCCTGGACCTGAAGACGGGTACAGTTAAGAAAGAGGGGCAGCAGTCGTCCATGAGAATGTGCATGGGCTCACGGCGCTCTTTCATCTGCAGGATGAGGTCTGTTGGGGCGCCAGGACTGTAGCAGCGGGGAGGGAGTCCCTGCCTTCCAACCTGCCCTTCTGAGTCTGGTTCGGTTCTCCCAAGATCACATGTGCTGCTGCAGTGACTGAGTCTTCTCAACCTCAGACCAAGACCAGGCAGATGCCCTTGTGTGCCATAGAAGGGTCCCGTCCTTCCTCCCGTCCCTCTGAGTCTGGTGCCTACCAGTTTCTGCCTATTCTCAGATCAGAGCCCCTGCCTACCGTTTTTTGACTTCCTGCCCCTCCCTCAAGACCCTGCTTGAGTCCAGCCTCTCCAAGGTTCCACATCTCTCAAGATGTTTGTATTGAAACCACTGAACCCAGGTTTACTCTTGTGTTTCCTGTGACAACGCATACATTTTAAATTACTGTCTGTTCCATTATTGACCGATATTTTAAGTGTAAATATCTTAGCTTCATGAATCAAGGATAATGCCCTGGGGATAGAAGCTTTAATTTATACCTCTGCCTGCCTCCCTGACGTCTAGCAGGCTGTTCTGCATGTATAGTCATCCCTCGTATCCATGGTGGATCGGGTCCAGGAGCCATCACCAACACTAAAACCCACAGATGCCCAAGATCCGGATAGTATTTATGTAACCCACACACATCCTCCCGCATACTTTAAAGCATCTCTTAATTACTTCTCATACCCAATCCAGTGGAAGTACTGTGAAAATAGCTGTTGTACTTTGTTGTTTAGGGAATAATGACAGGGAGAGAAGTATTTACCCATTTAGTACAGAGGCAATATTTTTTTCAAATATTTTTGTTCCATGGTTGGTGGAATCCTCATCGTTGTTGAGGAGATGCCAGAGAGTCTAAACTCTGAAGTCATCAGGGAGTCTAGTGGTGTCCCCAAAGAAGAGAGAACTAGGATGTTGAATCCTCAGATCCAGTTCAGATGCCCTAGTCACTTTAGTCCCATGGCTGCAGAAGGGTGTGGGTAGGAGGTACGGGACAATTGAATCTGTCTGCTCTGTGGGGCTGATGAGTAGAAACACCAGCTGTGCCATCCAGTCATTCACTCATCCATGCATTCATTCCATTGTGCATCGAGCTGATGCTGAGGGCCACTGTGCTGGGGACTGGTCAAGGAGCTGAGGAGCCTGTTAATTAGAGCAGATGGAATCCTGGCCTGCACTGAGCTTATTTTTGTGAGTCATGTAGTAGATAAAAGAGCCAGGTAATATACAGAATGTCAGACAACGGTGAGCACTACGGAGGAAAAGCACATTTAAGAGAGAGATGGAGGGGCTGGGGATTTAGCTCAGCGGCACAGTGCTTGCCTGGCAAGCAC